TAAGAATCTATACACAGAAAACTATAAAGTACTCATGAAAGAAATTGAGGAAGACACAAATGGAAAAATGTTCCATGCGCCTGGATTGGAAGAATAAATATTGTGAAAATGTCTATGCTACTTAAAGCAATCTACACATTTAATGCAATTCCTATCAAAGTACCATCCATTTTTTTCAAAGAAATGGAACAAATGATCCTAAAATTTATATGGAACCAGAAAAGACCGCGAATAGCCAAAGGAATATTGAAAAAGAAAGCCAAAGTTGGTGGCATCACAATCCCGGACTTCAAGCTCTACTACAAAGCTGTCATCATCAAGACAGCATGGTACTGGCACAAAAACAGACACATAGATCAATGGAACAGAATAGAGAGCCCAGAAATAGACCCTCAACTCTGTGGTCAACTAATCTTCGACAAAGCAGGAAAGAATGTCCAATGGAAAAAAGACAGCCTCTTCAATAAATGGTGTTGGGAAAATTGGATAGCCACATGCAGAAAAATGAAATTGGATCATTTCCTTACACCACACACGAAAATAGACTCAAAATGGATGAAGGACCTCAATGTGAGAAAGGAATCCATCATAATCCTTGAGGAGAACACAGGCAGCAATCTCTTCGACCTCAGCCGCAGCAACATCTTCCTAGGAACATCGCCAAAGGCAAGGGAAGCAAGGGCAAAAATGAACTATTGGGATTTTATCAAGATCAAAAGCTTTTGCACAGCAAAGGAAACCGTTAACAAAACCAAAAGACAACTGACAGAATGGGAGAAGATATTTGCAAACGACATATCAGATAAAGGGCTAGTGTCCAGAATCTATAAAGAACTTAGCAAACTCAACACCCAAAGAACAAATAATCCAATCAAGAAATGGGAAGAAGACATGAACAGACATTTCTGCAAAGAAGACATCCAGATGGCCAACAGACACATGAAAAAGTGCTCCATATCACTCGGCATCAGGGAAATACAAATCAAAACCACAATGAGATACCACCTCACACCAGTCAGAATGGCTAAAATTAACAAGTCAGGAAATGACAGATGCTGGCGAGGTTGCGGAGAAAGGGGAACCCTCCTACACTGTTGGTGGGAATGCAAGCTGGTGCAACCACTCTGGAAAACAGCATGGAGGTTCCTCAAAATGTTGAAAATAGAACTACCCTATGACCCAGCAATTGCACTGCTGGGCATTTACCCTAAAGATACAAACGTAGTGATCCGAAGGGGCACGTGCACCCAAATGTTTATAGCAGCAATGTCTACAATAGCCAAACTATGGAAAGAACCTAGATGTCCATCAACAGACGAATGGATAAAGAAGATGTGGCATATATACACAATGGAATACTATGCAGCCATCAAAAGAAATGAAATCTTGCCATTTGCGATGACGTGGATGGAACTAGAGGGTATCATGCTTAGCGAAATAAGTCAATCGGAGAAAGACAACTATCATATGATCTCCCTGATATGAGGGAGAGGAGATGCAACATGGGGGTTAAGGGAGTAGGAGAAGAGTAAATGAAGCAAGATGGGATTGGGAGGGAGATAAACCATAAGTGACTCTTAATCTCACAAAACAAACTGAGGGTTGCTGGGGGGAGGGGGGTTGGGAGCGGGGGTGGGGTTATTATGGACATTGGGGAGGGTATGTGCTATGGTAAGTGCTGTCAAGTATGTAAACCTGGCGATTCACAGACCTGTACCCCTGGGGAAAAAAATATATGTTTATAAAAAATATAAAATAAAAAATATAAAAAAAATAAAAAAAAGTTATCATTCAAATGGAAAAAAATTATCTTTAAAGAGATTAAAAAGTAAGAAGAAAAGTATTTTACAGGCATACCTTGGAGATGTGGTGAGTTCAGTTCCAGACCACTATAATAAAGCGGATATGGCAATAAAGCGAGTCAAATGAATTTTCTGGTTTTCCAGTGCCTATAAAGGTTATGTTAACACTACACTGCAGTCTATTAAGTGTGTAATAGCATCATGTCTAAGGAAATGTACACACTTTAATTAAAAAATACTTTGTTAAAAAATGATAACCAACACCTGAGACTTAGTGAGTCATAATCACTGACCACAGATCACCATAACAAATATCACCGTAATTTAAAATTTTGAAATATCTCAGATATGACACAGAGACACAGTGAATGAATGCTATTGGAAGAATGAACCTGTTGGGCTCGCTTGGTGCAGGGTTGCCACAAAGCTTTAATTTGTACAGAACACAGTGTCAGTGAAGGGCAATAAAATGAGGTGCGCCTGCGCGTTTACCCAGGCATTTACTGTTTCTAGAGCTCTTCATTTATTTGTGTAGATCTGGATTTTCTTCTGGTGCTATTTTTCTTCAGTCTAAGGAATTTCCTTTAATGTTTCTTATAAATAAGATATGCTTGTGATGAATAATTATCTGTTTCTGCTATCTGAAAAATATCTTAATTTCACCTTAATTTTTGAAAGATGATTTTCCTGTGTATAGACTACTAGGTTGACAGCACACTCTCTCTGGGCTTGTGTTGTTTCTGATGAGAAATCTGTTAGATTCTTACTTCTCTGTATGTGCTGTGTCTTGTCTTTTTCCTCTGGCTGCTTTTCAGGTGTTCTCTTTGTTATTGGTTTTCAGCAGTTTGACTATGAGGTGCTTCATGTGATTTTCTTCATGCTTTTCTTGGATGTGTGGGTTTTAATTTTCATCAAATTTAGAACATATTTGGCTCTTACTTCTTCATTCATTTTCTGTGCTCCTCTGGTCTCCTCCCTCCTTCTGGGACTCTACCCGTACATACACAACCCCACAGGTTGCTGAGGATATGGTCCTGGGTATAGTCTCTCCTTCCTGTGCTGCTTGTTGGGCTGTTTCTTTCTTCACATTCACTTATCTTCCCTTCTGCAATATCTAACCTGTTGTTAATATAGCCAGTATATTTTTTAAGTTGATATCTTATGTTTTTGTTTTTATCTCCTAGAAGCTTGTTTTCTTCTATTCTCTACTTCTCACTGTATCTTTTTTCCTCAATGGTCTTGAGCACATGGAGCATGTTCACAGTGGACGATTAAACACGCATATCTGGGCAGATAATTTCATCATCATCTCTGCCACCTGTTTCTATTGATCTGCTTTTCTCCTGGCTGTGGTTCATATATTCTTGATTCTTAGTATGCTTGATAATTTTTGGTTGGGTATTTGGAGGTCCTGGATTCTGTTATATTCCTTTAAAGAGTATAGGATTTGATTCTGGCATATGGTTCAATTACTTGGGATTGTTTTGAACCTTTCAAATTTTCCTTTAATATTTGCTAAGAAAGGTCAGATTAGTCTTATCCTAGTGTTTTTTTTTTCCATATCAGCAAGATAATACCCCAGTAAAGACTCTCTCCACCTTGGCCATGGGCGTGAGGAGCTCTGTATGCACTCTGGCTGTAGAGAAGTGAGTCATACCCCCCCCCACCCCCATGCTGAGTGAAGAGGCAAGGGGTCCCTCTGCAAATTCTTCTTGCACTCTCCCCAGTCCCTCTGAGTAACTCCATCCTTTCTGGAATTCTCCCCACCAATTGCAGCTACCAAACTAGAATCTCTGCCTCCATGACCCAGAGACTCAGAGAAACTGCTAGAGCCTGGATGTGCTTGCTGCACAGTGGCCTGGAAATTCCCACAGGCAGACTATAGAGTGCCCTTCCTTTCAGTCCCTCCTCACAGGAGTAGCAACCCTGTGATGCCTGTGGTCCAATGGCAGAAAACAGTCATTTCATATATTTTAACTGCTTTTCTAGTTTTGATGGTGAGGGAAATTCTCAGAGCAGTCAATCTTTCTTGGCCAGAATCCGAAGAATGGGTACTCTTTTTTTTTTTTCAATTATCTCTAATTTTTGTCTACCTTCCTGTTGAATCTAGGTAGAATGTCCAGACTGCCACCTTGTAATGGGACTAATAAGCTTTTACTAAGGGTGGAAGTGTCAGTTCTGTTGTTTCGTATTGGTTGCTTTTCTTTGTATCATTCTTTCTGTACAACAGGTGGTTTCTTTGCAAATCTTTTGAAATCATTGATCTGTTTTCTAACATGAGCTTAGTTAAATACACAGATATTAGATATTTAGATAACAATCTGGGCAAGGTGAACTGTGACCCATCACAGTGATTTTAAGCAACCAAACAGGTAAGGTTGCTGCACTTCCCTCCTCCCCCTCTGCATGGCAGAGCCTCACCCTCTCCTCAGGACACGGGCTGTCCTGTGTGTGGCCCTCTGACCAAAGGCTGATGGAGGGCATAGCATCCATCTATATCTTACTTATGGGTAAAATTTAATTTCCTTCTTAAGTTTTTAGGCTCAAACTAAATCTGACAAGCTTCTCATGAGCTTCTCCCAGGGGGAGCAGCTGCCCATGCTGTGACCTTTGCTTTGCTGGCACAGTGGCCAAGCGAGGCCTTTGGTGGTCAGGGCGATGTCAGATGCTAACCTGAATTTATTCTGTGGGTTGTAAAATCGAGTTGGCCTCTTAACTGATCTACCAAGTCATAACCAGCATTTAAAACAACATGAAGTAGCAACTAGCAGATTTCATCACATGTAATAAAGGTCAGTTTTCTTGCCAGCTACTGTGGCTTGTTCCCTTGCATGGTGAGGGGTCTGGAGTAGGAAAAAAGGATGTTAATAAGCCAAGAATCTCCTGAGCAGGAAGAAAGGCCATGAGAGGGTGGCCATCTTGCCCTGCATCTCATAGATGGCTACCAGGACTGGAGGGGACTAGAGGGGACAGGAGGCACACTCAGCCCTGCACCACCCATGGTGGCAGAGTTGGGACCAGCATGGAAGCTCAGGGGACAGACTGGTACAGGCAGGGCTGGGGAAAGTACCCCCCAGGACAGAGGGGGGGCTGAACTGGACAGTGAGGGAAAGGGGCCAGATGGCTGCGAGGGACTACTGTTCTGGGGGCTGCAGGCGAGGGACTACTGTTCTGGGGGCTGCAGGCACGGGCTGTTACCTGTCTCACAGCGAGGTCCCTCGAAGGGTTCTGCGCACAGGCAGGTGAAGTTCCCCAGGAGGTTGACACACGAGCCCCCATTGAGGCACGGGCTGGAGGCACACTCATCCACATCTGGGGGCAGCGGAGGCGGGATCTTGGCTCAAGCCAGCCTTTGACTCCCAGGCACTAGCCTCTCCCGCCCCCCAGGGCTGGCCCCTCACCCGTCTCACAGGCCACACCCGTGTAGCCAGGCAGGCATAGGCACACCGCTGAGCCCTCCTCCGCCTGGCACTGGCCACCGTTCTTACATTCTCTGGTGTCACATGGAGACAGTGCTGCAAGGACAGAGCGGTGGAAGGTGTTGGAACTCCGGCTGGGCCCCTGGGGATTCCTGCTGAACCCCATTCTGGAGGGCATCAGGCTGTTGGGGGGGCCTGGCTGGATAGTCCCCACTCAGCAGCCCAACAACTGGCCACACGGGGTCTGTTTCAGCCCATCCCTTGTGGTAGGAGGCTGTGTGCATGCTGGCTGGGGACACAAGGCTGAGTGTTCTCAGCTGCCAGCACAGAGCAGGGTTCCTCGGTGGGGCAGAGTGACACAGCCTGTGACAGGGTCTTGAAGGTGGTGCACGTGCAGATGTGCAGGAGGGGCCTGAATGGCTCTGAGGTGATGGGTTGTGGGCAGGCAGGTGATGTGTTGCATGGTCTGGTACAAAGGCACTCAGCCCCCATCAGGTGGGAACCCACCGTGGTGGAGCTCGCCTCTGGCCACCTTCACCTACCATGCCGTCCCCTCAGGCTCCCTGGTGGCTCCTGGCCTGTGAGCCCTGGCAGCTGAGCCAGTGGGGAGGGGAGTGGGAGGGACACTGCCTTCCCTCAGCTATGTCACATGTCCTGATGACAGCGCTTGCCCCAAACAACTCAGTATAGGAGCCAAGGCAATCGTTAGATCGTTAGAGCATGAGGCCCTCCTAGACTTGTGGGGGCCGGTGTGGGGGGAGGACAGGGGACGTGTGGAGGTGCTTTGGTGGCCACAGTGCTAGGTGACTCCTGTCTCCTGGGTCCTGACCCCACCAAAGAGCAGTGCTGGGCGCCTGGGGGGAGGAGGGGCTCCAGGTGAACAGCACACATGTCCCTGCTGTTGTGTGCTCTGTGGGCTCAGGTGGGTCCTGAGACCAGTGAGCCTCCATGGGGACCTGGGACCTGTTGCTGTCATCAGAGTGGCCGCGAGGAGGCCAAGGCACAGGGCTCCTGGCTATAGCCCCGGGCCCTCCTACGGGCCTTGCTGGGCCCAGACATGTATATATACACTGGGGTCCCAGACTTTAAAACATTTCTTGTGGCTCTAAGTCGCTCTTAGAAACAGTTCTTCTAGATTGAGACATTCTTGTACAATTGTTATTTGTACACACTTGATTTAACCATGTGTTATACGTGTTCCTCAATAATGGTTACACATCAGTAAGTATATTTAGGGGAATGGCTGTGGGTCCAGCTGAGTGGGGATTAGAGCACATTTGCTTTCATTTTAAGGGACTCTCTTTTTTGGGTTCCCCTAGCAGCTTCCCACAGCGAGACTAGGGGCAGCAGTGGGGATTCCATCTTCCTTTACCAGGTGGGCAAAGAGCCAGGATGTGGGGGCCCCAGAGAGGGCTGGGTGAAGGGCAGGAAGTGGAGGTTGGATCTGCCAGCATTGCTTCAAAAGAGCCCCACTCAGAAGCGGGTGGCGGAGTGGGGTGCAGCTGCAGTCTGGAAGCAAGGGAGGTCTCAAGAAGGACCCCAACCCATGTCAAGGCTGTGAGACCCCGGGGGCTGGAGAGAAACAGCAAGCAAGCCAGTCCAGAGCTGAGGGGCAGTGATGACTCCAATTGTACCTGGGTGGCTGTCGGGCAGGCCCCGCGGCCAAGCTGGAACTGGACACTGGCCTGTTCCCATCTGCCATCCCTGGTCTGAACATCAGGGCCCAGGAGGCATGAGTGCCATGGTCAGTGTTCCTGCCGTACCCCTGAGATGGGGCTTTCCTCTAGAGTCTGGGCTCTGTCCCCAGTGGGCCCACTGCCATGCCCTCTGCCGATGTTGACTCAGGGCTCGCATGAGGCTGACCAACCCCCACCCCTGGTCAGGCAGGACCATTCTGGTCATTCTTCCACCAGTGGGGCCCGAGGACCTGGGCATGCTCCTCTTACGTGTCTCACAGGTGGGTCCCCCGAAGCTGGCCGGGCACTGGCAGCTGAAGCTGTTCACACCATGTGTGCAGGTCCCGCCATTTTGACACGGATGGGAAACACATTCGTTCACATCTGAAAAACGGGGCAGCTGGGGCCTCAGTGGAGGAAGCCAGGTTGGGGAGGATCTTCCCGGACCCATTCCGGGCCTCACTTCCAGCGGGGGTCGGCTTCAAAGGGGCAGATGCACCCCCAGCCCACATGCTCAACGTCAGGGAGCCACAGCGTTTATGTACTCTCACCACCCCCTCGCTACCCCATCCTCCCACCCCACAGCACCCACACCATGGAGACAGAGACCCTGGACCTTTGGCCCTGAGGCCACTGGCTGTGCTGGCAGTATAAACTCACCCAGGTGACACCGCCTCCCCGTGAAGCCTGAGAGGCAGGAGCAGGTGTAGGAGGGGTTGCCCGTGACACAGTCATCGATGCACTTGCCACCGTTAAGGCACGGGCGCAGGGCCAGGCACACGGAGGCTGTGGACACAGGAAGGAACGAGCCGTCCCTTCCCTCCCTGGACCCAAAGGGCCCATCTCGGAGGAATGGCTGTGCGGTCTGCTGGCAGCCCAGCATCCGCAGTTAACTTCCCAGTTCTTCCCAGGATGCCCGGTGCGCCTGCTGTCTACTGCCTGCCCGCATGTCCCGCTGACACCTGGATGCCCAAGCTGGGACGTTGGCTTCCCCTGCACCCGTCATGCCCACAGCACCATCTTCTTCTTCTTTTTTGTTTTCTTTCTTTCTTTCTTTTTTTTTTTAAATTTTATTTGTTTATTTGTCAGAGAGAGCGAGAGCAGCACAAGCAGGAGGACTGCAGACAGAGGGAGAAACAGGCTCCCCATGGAGCAGGGAGCCTGATGTGGGTCTCAATCCCAGGACCCTGAGATCATGACCTGAGCTGAAGGCAGACGCTGGACTGACTGAGCCCCCCAGGCTCCCCTCCATAGCACCTTCTTATGACTTTAATCCATCAACTTATAGATTTCTCTGAGGAACTAAGAAGACAAAGACCCAAGTGTGCCCAGCAACACAGAAAGATGGGAGTGTGCCTCATGGGAAGAACATCCACAGACGTGGAAGAGGAGGGACCCCCGTGGGAGCCAGAGGTGGGTCAGGGGCCCTCAGACCCTCCAAGAGGGGGATGCAATCTGATTTCAGCACTGCCGCCAACTGTTGCCTAAACGTAGGCCCAGCTGCCCCTCCAGATCTTCCCATGGAAACAAAAGGGCCGCCCTCAGAGCTCTGGAAGGCAGGGTTTCTCGTATCACAGCCTCCTGGCCAGGGAGGGCCTCCAGCAGTTCCTGGGGCCCACCTAACCCTGTGCCTGGGCCCTTCAGGACCAGCCACCCTCAGAGCCCAGCTCAGGGGACCCTCCCCCTCTGGAGAAGTAAGGCTAGTGACATTGGCAGGGACGGAGCACAAATTGGCAGGTAACTAGAGCACCCCAAGGTCTCGGATCTCCTGTTGCTAGGGGGCACCCGGGAGATCTGGCCTAATCAAGGGGAGCAATAGGGGACACTCCTGAAAGTACCCTGGGGCCCAGAGCACCATCAGAGCAAAGGGCGTCTTTTGGATTATTTCTGCTGCTCGTGCATGCACTTCTACTCACGTAGCCACACTGTCACTTAACCAGTCGTGGTTTGGCGACCCTGTAGAGTGTGCTCTCTGCGTGGGCCCAGTTTTGGGACCTGCCTTTCTCAAGAGCTAGACTTCCAGATGTGGATGCACTCAGGGCCTCTCAGGTGGGACTCGGCCCTCCCTTGCCAGCAAAGCCAGCATGTGGGCTCTATCTCCTGGGCTTGCAGTGTGGCCGTGGGGAAGCAAGGGGGCTCCAGCGGGCTTCTGTGTGCACTAGTTGGGAAGGCCCAGCAATGCCTTCTCATCTACTCCCCCCTAGAAGTCTTAGATAGCAGGGGAAGCACATCCGCGTGGGAAAGGGATCCCCGGGGGACTGGCCAGACCCTCCTCTGAAGATCCCGTTTCTCAGGGTCTCACAGCCTGCAACCTTTCTAGAAAGGGGGCATGGGCCTGCCTACACCTAGACCCACACCTGTACCTACACGTGCACCCACATGTATAGCCACATCTGCTCACACCAGTCCCCACGTGTATCCACACCTGTCACCCACCGCTCAGGCTTGCGTCCACACTACACTGATGCCAGCTCACAGCAGCCCACATCCGCACCCATGCCTTGATCCTCAGCAACTCAAGCCACTGGCTCTTGGGCTCCTTGGTTGGGAGTTCCCACATCCCCTAAGCTCAGACTCGGGCTGAGGCGTACTTGGTGCTCCAGTGAGTGGGTGGGCTCAGGTTCCCCAGGCATCTCTTGCTGGAGCATCTTCCCTGGTCCTTGGTGAGACTTTCTGCCCACCAGCACGTGCCTGTACCCCAGGCCCTGGGCCCTGAGAASTGTGCRTCTGCCCCCCTGGCCAGTCGCTATCGGCTGCACCTGCCCTGGGGTAGCTCTCAGAGACTGGTGTTCTGAGAAGCCCTCAGCCTCCTTGTGGGTGGGAGGTGAGTCTGCTAGGACCCTCTGGACACCAGCCTCACTGTGGCCTTTGTGGGGCCTGTGGTTAGCTCTCCAGCGAGTGGCCAAATCAATCTCCTCATCTCTGTTTATAAGCATCATGTTTCAGGAGCTTCTGTGCCTCCTCCAGGGTCCCCCCAGGGGAAGGGGCCAAGATGCATCTTTCTGCCCTTGGGGGGGACCCTCCCCCTATCTACTGCACCTTCTGAGCTTTCAACTCCCTCCACTCAGTAGATGCCTGGGGTGTGTAACAAGTGTCAAATCCCAGGAAACAGCAAGCCCACGGCAAATGTGGGGAAATGGGTGAAAAGAGTATCTGACTTCTAGGTGGTCCTGGGGACACAGGAGACCTGGGTGGTGCTCCTCCCCCACCAAGGACACAGGCTGGGAGAGAATGAGGGGAAAGCGTCGACTCCTGGCCCCAAGAAGGGGCGGCCCCGACTCCTCCACTTTGCACCACAAACCTTGGTCTCCAGCAGATTCCCTGGCCCTGGAGCCGGAGCCGAGGTAGGGAAGCCTCACCAAGAGGAGACAGGGCTCAAGGGGCCAGCTGCTACCTGGCCACGTTCATGGCTGGGGGAGAGGGGTGGAGGAGGCCAAGCCTTCCTGGCCAGCAGCCTGCCCTGTCCCCAGCCTCCCGCTACCTCCTCCCCACTAGGGTCCCCCCCCTCCTGTCATCCCCCCACTCCCTGAGCCCCCCCAACCCACAGCCCTGAGCCGCTGGCTCCATCCTCTTACTTGTATGGCTGCAGCCCCCCACGCGCACCTGGGCATCATCGATTCTGAACGCCCAGCGCCCGGGCACGCCCACGTTGGTGGTGGTCTCCACCTCCGCCATGTCTGCTGTGCGGGAGCCAGGGATGCTGAAGTAGCGCCGCCCATCACCCGCATTGAAGCCGGCCTGGGGGTGGGGTGGGGAATGGAGAGTCGGCGGGGGGCGGGGGCAGGCATGGGTTGGTCTGCAGGTCTCTAAAATTCCCGGGACCTACCTCCCTGCGGTGGCCATGGTCAAAGAGATCATGTGGAAGATGGCCTTGTAGTCCTGGAGTTTTATGGGTTTGGGGGTACCCTACCACCCTCTACGTTGTTACTGTTCTGAGCAGCAGCCTCCCAGCTGGGCCACAGATCCTGGCCACCGACACAGTTGGGCCCTAGCATGCTGCCCTCACACACCTGCAGGGACTCCCTCCCTGGCCTCTTGGCTCCCTGGAGCCAAGGGGCAGGTGTGACCTCAGAAGAAAGTAGATGGCTAGGAAGGAGATGAGGGTATTCCCACCCTGAGGGAGCACTTGATGGCCTTGGGGACTTGCACTTGACCACTCCCTTGACACCTGTGATTTCCTGCTGGCCACAGTTCTGTGGGCCACACGCAGGGCAGACCCCAGGACAGGTAGCGTGCACAGAACCAGGGTCCCATGTGCCTTGGCTGCAGCTGGCCCTGGGAGGCCAGGGAAACACAGGGTAGGACAGAAGTGCCTTTGACCTGAGGATGTTTCTGGATCTGGCCTGGGGTTAGCATCAGAAGGCCTCACACTGGCGTCTGCACAGTACTGGGTGTGTGTAGGGGGGGGACTGTCTGGACAGACAGGACAGTTGTGGCAGTGGGGAGCCGGGCCCCTACCTGGGCTGCGATGCCCCCCAGGCCCGTGGTGTCACCCCCGCTGCTGGCGTGTGTGCCCGTGGTCCACGTGATGGACTCATAGTTGAAGATGGTGAAGGAGAACTTGCCGTCAGTGATAAGCACGGTCTGGAACGTGTTGACCTGCCAAGGAGGGAGGCCTGAACCGGGTTCTGGGCTCCCCCATCCACGTTGCAAGGCCCTGCCCCCTTTAGCATGCCTTCACACAATGTCCTCATCCACTGACCCTTCCTCTGTCTTTCTAACTAGCTGGTCAGCCATCTGCTGTCGAGCTGATGGCCTTGTCCTCATCCTCCACTGTGTCCCTAGATCCTGAGGCCCTCGCATAGGTCAGGACCCCTAAGAATGGTTAGCTGGTGAGTGGGACACACTGAGGTGTCACCAGGGCCCCAGACGCCAGGTGCAGACACTGCGCCCTGAGGTGGCTGGGGCAAAAGAGTTAGTGATAACCAGGTAAAATCCCCAAAATTGCTTCTTGTGAAACAAAAAATGTAAAGAGGGAAAGATAAAAAGAGGAAACAAGGAAAAGCAGGGTTTTTTTTTGTTTTGTTTTTCATGGATTTCTCTTCCACGAAGATATTATTGAGTGGTATATACATGAGATGTTATTTCAGACTGGGGAAGGGGTGGGATTAAGAAGTGATCTTGGAACAAATAGGAAACTGTCTTAAAAAGAAGAAATTTAGAGCTTTATATCACTCATGAAAATAAATACCACATCAAGTAAGGTTGTGAACAGAACCATCAAAGCCCTAGAGGAAAATATAGGCAAGTGCTTGGAGCCACGTCGAGGAAAGACTTTAAGTGTAACATTTGTTAACTGCAAAAACCAAAAAGGAGATTTATATATTTGACTACAAAAACTTCTGCGTATAAAAAAGTGCCATAAGATCAAACAGAGTGGCAACACAGCAAAGTGAAAAATGTATTTATAACAGAGGGGGCAGGTGAAATTATTGATATCCTAAATTGAAGCAGAACTTCCATGGGCCAGGAAGAAAAAGACAACAGAAAATTGGCAAAGTTTATGTGAACAGAGGCATTACCACGGAAGACACCTCATTGATAATACAGGACAAATTCAGCAACACTAGAAGCTGAGAGGTGAAGCATAATAGAGAAAGAGCTTCCGTGTGTGCTGGAGCGGCTGGCAAGGGCGCAGCATGCTGGGACCCCCGGCTGGGCAAGGGGAGACCTGGGCTTACACATCTGGCTTGTTCGTGCCTGGGAGGGGGGCACAGGCTTGAGGGGCAATCAGGCCTCTGTGGGCAGCAACCTTCCCGCTGGAGACTCGTGCCAGACAATGGCCCCCAATCTAGCAGGGCCTGGCAGTGCCCACCACGGGACACCTTGCCATCGGTGCCACCCGGCACTGGGATGGTCTGCAGGTGTGCACAGTGGGACAGCACTGGTCTGTCCTTTCCCTTACATAACCATGAACAGCAGGAAGACTGAGTGCTCCCCTTCAGGAACACAGACCTGCTGCTAGCACTCTGAAGACAACCAGGATCAGTGGCCGTGAAAGCGGAGTGGCGGTGAGCAGAGGAAGGGCAAGCCAATGGCCGGTGTGGCTAGAGGTAGGGTCCAGTGTTCGAGGAGACCCAGACCCCGCATGGAGTTTCACGCTCCCTCTCTGCTGAGCAGCTGGCTCTGGGAGGCTCCCAGGTTACAGACCAGCACCCAAACCCAGAACTCTGACCCCTTCCAGGGATGCATGTGTTGCCCGATAATCTGTAACCCCCATATCCGGGCCTGCCAGCCTGCAAACTGGAGAAGTTAGGGTTTCCTCCTCCTCCCAGGGGGCTGCAGAAGTGCCACAGATTTCCACGTGGGAGAAGGAGGAAAATGCCCTACTACTGCTGAGTAAAAAAACAAAACACAAAACAGCGCGTTCTAGCCGGCTCTATTTGTTAAAGTGTGTCAGGATGCAATAGGTGTTTGATGGGACTGATCTCTTGCTAGCAGACTTACTGATTCTTTTTTCTTTTTGTTACAAAGATGTTTTTCTTACAAATTGATAAGAAAAACAAGTGAAGCTGACAAAATATTAGTGGACTGTGCATGAATAAATTTCATGAAAAGTGTAAATATTTATTTGTAGTAATGTTTATGGAAAAAGCCCGTCTTCCCCTATTCACTGTCATACTGCTTTTAAGATATTCAACAGTGAACATCTCGGGCCCTCAGTGTCCCTGGCTGATGTGCTTGCTGGCATTCTCTTTGTCATCTTGGCCGCTGGAGAACTCAGGGTTTGTGCGGGACTCGCATGTCCCTGCCTGCAGGCCCTGTCTCCCACTCACACTGTTTACCTGAGTCACCATTGCTAGGGACCCCGGCTGCACCTCCAGGTTCCCACTGGGCACCCCTACACCCTGAGTGAAAGCCTCACCTGCCCCCACCCTCTGCCCAGGCATGTGTATGATGGGAAGCCTGGCCCGGGCGTTGACTGCTCTGCCTCTCCCCCGCAGCCCAGGGTCCTGACACAGCTGTCCCTTGGGCTGCTCTGAACCATCCCATTCTCCCTGCTCTGGAGCCCCATATGGCTTGCAGAGCAGTCTCCATGAGAGTTCCTGCCCCAGGTTGTGCTGTGCTGAGCACTTCTCAGCGCTTGGCATCGAGAGTGTGCCCCACAGGAAAGACGTGCCCCTGCTGCCTTTGTTGTTTGGCGTTATCACAGAATAAAGGATAAAACAGAATAAACTTCCCACTTAGCCTATTGAGCATTGAACCATTCCAGATGGAAATCCTTCTGACACATGCAATCTGCATCTCTCTGGTGTGTGAACTACTGTGTCAGGGCATTTGGCATTTTCCTATAGAGGCAAGTGTTTTCTGGGAGGGCTGGGAAGGTCAAGGCTCTGTCCTCATCCAGCCTGGCTCTGTGACCCTGGGAGAGTGACTTCCATCCCTGAGCTGGGTGTTCCTGTCTCAGGCATGGACCAGTGATTATGTCTGGCCCACCTCAGCCAGGTGCAGCCCCTAGGGGGAGACCCTAGACCCCAGACGGACGTCCTCCCTACCCCAGGACAGAAAACTCACAGGGGAAGAGGAGCTGCCTCCGAAGAAGGTCACGCGGTACCAGGTGGCTATGAAAACCCAGGTGGCGGAGAAGTCCAGGAGCTCAGGGAAGTATCGCCTGACATCCTCTGTGGCTCTGCGCAGCGTGGCTGGGTCAGTGGCCTCCCGGTAGTACACATCACCTGCACGTCGATTGTCCACATCTGCCCAGAAGGCTGCCACTACGCAGCGGTCCTTGGCGATGGGAAAGGCCACTGGGGTGAACTGAGAGACCTCCTTCAGGAAGGAGATGATCCCATTATTGTTCACCTGTCAGAAAGTCAGAGAGGGGACCAATGGGCACCTAGGGGTGGCAGGTGGGCCTGACAGCCTCCCCTGCCTCACCCACCAGGCACCCTCCAAGGCTGACCTGGCCTTGGGCAAGGCATCCCCAGGATCGCTTGACAGTTCCTGGTCCCTGACATGGGACCCCTTGGCCTGCTCCAGCCCCTTGCAGACAGGCTGTGTGCTTGGGGACAGGCTCTGGTCTGTTTGCTGTACCTGATGCCCAGCAGAGTGCCCAGACCTGGGTTGCTGCTGTGGGGTTGGGGAGCTCCCACTGTGGGCCTTGGCTTTGGACAAATGGGGTACTCAGGGCCTGGGTCCCACTTGAATAAGGGACTTTGAGAGGGCACAGTAGAGTTCCAGCCTCCGAGTCAGGTCTGGACAGGTTCATAGGAAGCATGTAAGGTAGGGGGAGGAAAGAGCACCCACAGAGCAGAGCTGGGGATGGGCAGGAGCCAGTGTGGCCAGGGGAAGCTGGAAGGGCCTTGATTGCTGGGTTGGGGGTGGGGTGGTCTGTTCTCAGGACTCCAGATGGTGGGGAGCCCCAGAACGCTCCTAAGAAGAAGAAGAGGAGCAGCATCTCTGCAGTAATACACAATGGGTCACCGTGCTGATCCTGCCACTCAGTTAGCTGTGCAACCTTGAGGCAAGTTAGCCTGGCCTCTCCATGCTCCAGATGTTTACCTGTGAGATGGGGATAACACTAGTACTTGCCTCCAGGATGCAGGGCAGCCTTGAATGAATTAATGATCACAAAGCTGGGCTCTAGACTATCATGATTAGCTCCTGGCAAGACTGGTCAAAGCTGTGCTTTTAGAAGAGACCTTCTGGACTTCCCCTTTAGGTGAGATCCTGCTCTATAATCCAGACCAATACAAAAGACTGATAAGCATACCTCTCTTCTGAAAGGCACAAAAGAGCAAACAAGCAAGTGAGGGAGTTTCAGTGTTTGTGCTCCAAATTGAGGACAGGGAAGGACTGGGGCGAGCCTGGCACTCAAAGCTCCTTTTGTCCTGAGGGCATCTGCAGACTCACAAGCAACAGCTGCAAAGAAGACCTGCAGTTTCAGCAGCCTCAGGGAGGGAAAGGGAGAGAAACTTCAAAGCTCAGAACTCACTCAGGGTTGGGGATAAACCCCCACATTAGGCGGGGTGAGCTTGAAGTACACAGTCCCTGTGCAGTCTCATACTCTGCTGTCCCCTCACCTAAGCAATCCAGGGCCCCTCAAACCTGGACTTGGTTTATGGTGGCTCCCAAAGGGTAGCATTCCAAGGTTCCAGGCAGAAGCAAATAAAACCCTCTCTGGCAGAAGATAGCAGCATCTTAGACCTCAAGCTATTTATATAAGTAATTTTTCAAATACAAAACCCAGGACACAGTCAAAGATAATCCAGCACACAAGGAAGCAAGATGCCACTAACAGGAGTAAGTCGAAATGAGAGAAACATTGGATATCAGAATTATCAAAGGCTATAAAATAGCTAAGTTTACCGTGTTCTAAGAAAACACAAACTTTAAATTTTGTCAAGAGAATAGCCAAAACAATCTTGGAAAAGAAGAACAAAGTTGGAGGATTTATACTTTCTGCTTTCAAAACTTACCACAAAACTATAGTAGCCAAAACAGTGTGGCACTGGCATAAAGATAGAAAGACAGACAGACAGAATAGAATGGGATGCCCAGAAATAAACCATCACATATACAGTCAAAGGATTTTCATCAAGGATGTCAAGAGCAATAGAGATAGGACTGGCTTTTCAACACATGGTGCTGGGAAAAATGGATATCCACATGCAAAAGAATGAAGTTGGACACTTAACATAGAATAAAAGCTTCATGACATTGGTTTTGGCAATGATTTCTTGGACACAACACCAAAGGCACAGATGACAAAAGAAAAAAAAACCACAAACTGGAGTTCATCAAAATTAAAAATTTTTTTAAAAAAAGATTTTATTTATTTATTTGACAGAGAGAGAGATCACAAGCAGGCAGGGAGGCAGGCAGAGAGAGGAGGAAGCAGGCTCTCTGTAGAGAAGAGAGCCCGACGCATGGGGTTTGATCCCAGGACGCTGGGATCATGACCTGAGCCAAAGGCAGAGGCTTTAACCCACTGAGCCACCCAGGTGCCCCTAAAAATATTTTTTGCATCAAAAGACACTATTAGCAGAGTAAAAAGGCAACCCACAGAATGGGAGCAGATATTTGCAAATCTTATATTTAATAAGGGATTCTTATCCTAAATATATAGAGAACTCCTACAACTAAACAACAACAAAAAGCATCCTGATTAAAAAATGGGCAAAAGACATCAATAAATATTTCTCTGAAGAATACATACAAATGGCCAATAAGCCCAGGAAAAGATGCTCAACATAACTAATCATTACGGAGAAGCAAACACAAGCCACAATGAGCTACCACCTCACACACATCAGGATGGCTACTATCAAAAAAATAGGAAAGAACAAGTGTTCTTTTCCAAAGATATAGAAAAACTGGAATGCTTGTGCATGGCTAGTGGAAATGTAAAATGACAGACTCACTGTGGGGAACAGATGGCTATTTCTTAAAAAATTGCAAATAGAATTACCATATGATCCAGAAATTCTACTCCTGGGTAAATATCTATATTAGTCTGCTAGGGCTGCCATAACAGAATATCAGACTGACTGGCTTAAACAACAGAATTTGTTTTCTTATAGTTCTAGAGCTAGACATGCAAGGTAAAGGGGCCATCAGAGTTGTTTTCTAGTGAGGTCTCTCTTCCTGGCTTTAGATGGCTTCATCCATGCTGTGTCGCCCATGGCCTTTCCTGTGTGCACATGAGGAGGGAAAGAGCTCTCTGGTGTTTCTACCTCTATATCAGATTAGGGTCCCACCCATACAACCTCATATAACTTTAATTACCTCTGTAAAGGCTCTATCTCCAAATACAATCATATTGTGGGGTTAGGAATTCAACAGCTGAATTTTGGGTGGCACACCATTCATCCACAACAATACCCAAAATAATTGAACGTAAGGCCTTCAAAAGATATTTGTACACCCATATTCATAGCAGCATTATGCATGACAGCCCAAAGAAATCCAAGTTCCAACACCGCATGAACGAGGAAACAAATGTGGTCTATCTATACAATGGAGTATGATTCAGCCTTAAAAAGAAGGAAATTCTGACATGTACTACAAGATGAATGAAACTTGAGGGCATTACGCCCAGTGAAATAAGCCAGTCACAAAGAGACAAATGCTATGATTTCATGTATATGAGGGACCTAGAGTAGTCAAATTAATAGAAAGTAGAATGGGGGTGGCCAGGGGCTGGGGGGAGGGGAAAAGTGGGAGTGTCTGATGGGGACAGAATTCACATTCACAAGACAAAAGGAGTCTGAAGGTGAAAGATGGTGATGACTGCACAACATGAATACCCTTAATACCACTGAACTGTACACTTAAAAGTGGTTAAGGGCGCCTGGGTGGCTCAATGGGTTAAGCCTCTGCCTTCGGCTCAGGTCATGATCTCAGGGTCCTGGGATCGAGTCCCGCATTGGGCTCTCTGCTTGGCAAGGAGCCTGCTTCCTCCCCTCTCTCTACCTGCCTCTCTGCCTACTTGTGATCTCTGTCTGTCAAATAAATAAATAAAATCCTTAAAAAAAAGTAGCTAAGATGGTCAGTTTTATATTATGTGTATTGCCCATAATACAAAAAATATGATTTGAAAAAGGGCTGGGAGCCACCTGGCTGGCTGGCAGTAGAGCATGTGACTCTTGATCTCAGGGTCATGAATTTGAACCCCATGTTGGATGTGGAGATTACTTTTTTTTTAAATTTTTTTTAAAGATTTTATTTATTGATTTGACAGAGAGAGATCACAAGTAGACAGAGAGGCAGGCAGAGAGAGAGAGAGAGGGAAGCAGGCTCCCTGCTGAGCAGAGAGCCCGATGTGGGACTCGATCCCAGGACCCTGAGATCATGACCCAAGCCGAAGGCAGCAGCTTAATCCACTGAGCCACCCAGGCACCCAATACTTTAAATGAAATAAATATTGTTTTAAAAAGGGCTGGGATTAAAAAAAATCATCAGGGATGGAAGTTATCTTTTATTATTTTTTTAATTTTTAAAGAGGATTTTATCTATTTGACAGAGAGCGTGAGAGAGGGAACACAAGCAGGGGAAGTGGGAGAGGGAGAAGCAGGCTTCCTGCTGAGCAGGAAGCCCAATGTGAGGCTGATCCCAGGACCCTGGGATCATGACCTGAGCCGAAGGCAGACACTTAATGAATAAGCCACCCAGATGCCCCAGAATTATCTTTTAAAAAGGCCATTTTAAAGAACTAAATAGAAATTCTAGCACTTAAACTAAGTAAATAACAAATTAAGAACTAAGTAGATGGATTTAAGAACAGATTTGAAGCAATTGAAGAAAGAATAAATGAACTGGAACTAGAAGATAGGTCAGAAGAAACTATCCAGAATTTAGAACAGAGACAGAAAGACGGAGAGTAGAGAAGAAAAAGTAAGACTTATGTGAAGTAATAAGATGATCAGATAAATGTATGGTTTGTAGTACCAAAGGATAAGGAGCTACAAAGGCAATGACTGAGAATTTCTAGAACCAATGAAAGACATCAGGCCACATATTCAACAGTCCCAGTGATTCCCTAGCTGGAAAAATAAAAATAAAGCAACAACTAATGACTGCTAGAGATGCAGAAAATGAATGACAAGGAGAATACATATAAATTACCATCAAGGATCTTACAGGTAGAGTGACAGTTGATTTCTCACAAGCAATGATGGGAACTAGAAATCAGTGAGATCATATCTTTAATGTGAAAGAAAATAACTGCTAACATAAACTTATACCCAGATAAAATATCCTTTATTACTGAAGGCAAAATAAAGATAATTCAGATAAATAGTAAGTAAGTAAATAGTATCTAAACAGCAGACCCACATGAAAAAAAAATTCAAGTTAAAGGG